GGGGGGTCAACGCCTGAAATGGCTTGATGTCACTGTTACGTCTACTTTCATGTCCAATATACTTTGCTAGCTCCTCGTCCCAATTTTCACAGTACTTGTGCGTTCACCTTTTTTTGCGTCGCCTCGGCGCTTCCCCAGCATCTGACCTCCTTTCCTGTCTCCTTCCTCCCTCCTTTGCCTCTTGAATGTGTCTAATCTCCCTCTCTCCTTTTGTTTTCCTGACCTCAACGAAAACCTCCTCATCCCCCCTCGCCGTGTTTACTCCAAGCAGCGAACGCGGCCGCCCTCGCTTCAACCCAGCCGCCGAAGTTCATCCATCATCTCTGCTCCTTTGTTTGCGCCGCTTTTTGTTTGGCGGAGCGCTCGTGACCGGTTTTCACAGTGGCCAGCGCGGGAGCTAGATTGCTTTTCTGTTGATTTGTGCTGGAGTGCTCGCGGATTGTTGTTACGTAATCCAAGATTAAGTGTGTGGTCGCATCATCTCCCTGAGCACTCAATCAAATGGCGAATCGAGGCGAGTCACGTTGATATACAGCACGTATCCAATCGGATTTTATCGGAGAGATACATCTTGGAAAGAAAATGGCACCCAAATTTCATTGTAAGCTATACAATGACAATAAAGGCGATTCTGATTCTGATTCTGAAATGGCGCATTTATGTTGCTGACAAGTTTGTTCAAATGGATGTGAAATGACCACCAAAAAGTCATGACCCTCTCGAACTGAGCCAGACCATGTGGAATCGAATCGTACTCCTACTGAGTTGATTCCTTTGGCCCAATCGGCACGTCCTTGATTCGCCTCGCCGAGCAACCGCGACCGCTTTTACGCAGCCTGATGCGCTAAAGAGTCTTTAATGAACATGAAATCCTTATTTTAGTGATGTGTGAGCTCACCTGAGACAGTCCACACGAGCACGGTGAGAACATTGAAAGTCCACACACACCGCGGTAGACTTGTGAGGACGTATTTTAACTCTGTGTGAAAGATGAGGCTACATGTAAAAAAAATGGTCTCTGTTTGGAAGTAGCAAAGTGTTGAAACGTTGCATTGAGCATTTGATGCTTCTGCCAATTTATGAGCAT